TCTAGAATTTTTTTTTTTATTTTGTTTTGCAGGATTTATTTTAATTGAATTAATTTGCTCTGTTAGAGGGGGTCGTGCCAGGATCTCGATTTCGGGGGGGGGTCGTACCTCTGCGACCACGTACTCGACACGATTTTCACCCTGTCTAGAGACATTGGAGAGTTGCCAACGAATCAGCTTGCAATTGTGGTTAAGGAAGCCACTTTGGGTGCCCGAAAATCTCCTCGATAGATCCTCGACAAAAATACCTTCTCAACTAGGAGGTTTCGCGAGAAGATAATACGAAACTGGAAGGGGTTTTCTTTTGAATAAAAACTCGCAAGAAAATTTTAGCGTCATCGATGCTGAATCGACGCAGTTCGAGAGACACTGTTTCTTCGAGTGAAGGCTTTCAGATCATTTTCAGTACTGCTTGGTAAAAGGAAGCTTGGCTCTTTTCAAATCTACACACAACCTTTCCAAAAGATTATGCAACGGAGGAATGGTAGCATTTCAAATATAGTGAAGATTTACAAGATTTTTGGCGGGGCTATAGATAATTTGACCCAGGGATAAACCACAGTGCAACAGCATTTATACTTTAAAGGACGAATTCACGATGAAAAAGCAACCCATTTCAAATTAACCTAGGGATGGTGAGTGGTACACGAAAGAAGGAAGAACCATGAGAAACGGCCCAGAACCCGAGAAATGGGACCCCTTCCTTGCCCGTTGATTTGAGCATTGATGCGACTCTCATCGCTGTGCCCTCTTCAACACTACGCTCTCTCAGCTATCTAATCACTCGCCACGTATAGACCGAGTGATCAGATGATCGGTGGGCGTGCACTGGCCCACCGCGCCAAGATTGAGCCTTAATAGGTCGCCGAGGTCAACTCCTTCGGTGCCAATTGCGCTTCAGTCCGCACCCTCAGGAGGTCCGCGGGTCCCTCAACTAGGTGAATTACTCCTTCTTCGACCTTCATTCTAATCGTGAATTCGTCCTTTAAAGTGTACAATGGAACTCGTTCAATCACATCAAATCAAAATTGGAGGCAGGATCAAGGCTCCAATTCCAGGGTGGGGGCCTTCCTGCCGTGACCAAGGCGACACGAATTTCACCCTGCTCCGCCCTGAATGGGGTGTGTGTTGAAACTCCACTCGTTACTATTGAAGGACGCTACGCAAAGCCCTTCTCTTCGTAAATACAATAGCTGAAAAAAGGCTGTTGCATCGCGCACCTTGTCCCTGGAGCAAGGTATTTTCAAGAAGCACAGGTCAAGAACTGTACCGGTTTTCCTTCTCAATGGCTTCCAAACGTAAAAAAACGTGCTTGTTTAACCAGTAAATTATAAATGACGCCGTTGATGGCTTGTGCCAAAATAAGGGGCGAAGTGTTTAAAGTATGTAAGCTTTTACACATTTGGAAGCCACAACTTAGCATTTCAGTAACATCCATTTAGGAAATAACTGCGGGGGGGGGGTTACGGTTAGTCTGAAAATTTGCTCTTTCCAGGCTTCTGAGAGGTTTGGAATGTTTTTATGTATATTCAAAACGAAGTTTAACCCTTTCGGCCCTGGCGGTGGCAATTGCCACCATCAAATTCAAACGCTTGCATTGCCGCTGAAACAGCATGGTTTTTCTAATCCTGCTAGAGGTTGCTTCAGTCAACCTTCCCCTTCCTAATTATGAGCTAAACCTGCCATTTCATTGTGTGTTGCTGTTAGTATTACAAGTATTTGTGTACAAGTGCAACAATGAATCGACGCTGGTCCCCGCAACCTGCCAAGTAAGTGTCACTTTTTCTTAAAATACTTGAAGTAGATCCATTCTTAAATCAAAATTATGGGTTATAATGTTGTGCAAGATTATAAACTTTTTCGGCATAACTATGAAATTTGGAATTGTTTCGACATAAGCTCAAAAACTAAGAAGGTGGGCCAATTTTCAAATTTCTTAGTTTGTGATCAAATTTCGCTATAATGATATGTGCTCACAAGTAATAAACAATAGCTAGAAGAAAAATTTCTCCACGGAAAAAAATTCAGGTCCGAAAGGACTGAATTTTCCTCGTGTGATGGGTAATCGTTCTTCCCACCACACTTTCAATGAACATAGCTTCTCTCTAAAGAAATTGGTAGAAATCCAATGTTTTCGGAGCCTACACATTTACTTTTTTTCCGTTTTTTTTCATTATTTTCTGATGCGTGAAGTTGTACAGAAGGTTTTCGTTCTCTAGGAAATAAAAAAGAAGTCTCAAGTTTTTATAAAAGTTTATAAAGTTGACGCAGAACATTCTTCTGGGTCTTAACGATGGCTCAATTTTAGCCCCTCCAGAAGAATTTCGATGTCTTTTTAGCTCACACTCCCTGCAAAGAACAGAGTTTGAAGAGCAGGGCAGGGATAAGATCCGTTGTTGTCGGCCATTCTACCCCCGCGCTCGCAGACAGCGCTAACGCCTACCCTTCTCTGACGCATCCCGCAGCATCACTCGGAGTATCCCTCACCATCTAACCAAATACGACACCCTCCTTCAAGGAATCTTCGAAATACACGACGACCTCCCAACAATAAGCTAGTTTCCGTTCCGCCGCTCAGTAGGAATGGACATTGGAGAAGCTCTGCTATGTCCAATTGTTTTCTGTTATGACATGCTTTTCAGCGTTAACAATCAAAAATACAATAATTTATCAGTGTTCACCAAAATTTTACAACATTTTCCAGCAACAACGCAGATCCTCAAGTGCGTCCTTGATGTTGGAAAGTCCTGAACCCGTCGATTTACTGAAATCAGATACTTCATTAGTGTATTCAAAAGAGCGCGCCTGAGGTCTTGAATGAAGTGCAGCAAACTTACACAAGGACATGGACACGGACACGGACAGCATGGTGGAGGCGGGCATAAGACCGGTACGTTCACAGGTACAGGAGCCGGCACCGGTGTGCAGACAGGCACTCCCACTGGTGCCGGAACCGGTACCGGAACTGGTTGAGGAACTGGTACTGGAGCAGGGATTATTGGCACCGGCCGTGGTACCGGCATGGGAACCGGAGCCGGAATTGGAATCGGGACCGGTTCTGGAATAGGACATGGCACTCCAACGGGAGCTGGAACCGGACACGGTATGACGCACGGCGGAGCCTAAACGGTACAAATGAGACACCTGCTTTAAGTACGCCAATGTTGAAAGTAAAATCACAGCATACCGGCGGAAAACACGGGCATGGACATGGGCAGGCACATGCGCATGCGCCGCCAATGCATCGTTTCGATCGCGTTGAATTTACATCCGTTAGAAGGGTTTCTGTTGAATCATCAAGTAGTACAATTGTCACGTTATAAACTACACCTTCAGGTTCGTTCAAATCAGTAGTCCTATTAGAAACTACTCCTTCAGGTTCTTTCAACACGGTGGTCCTGTTGAGAATTATCTCCTCATCTTGGTATCGCACAGTAGTCACGTTTTGACTAGCCTGATCTGTCTGAAAAAAATGTGCGCGTTAGAAAATAGACTAGTCTTAATGTTGTAAGACCTATTTTATAGCAGCCTAAGCTGGACAGAAAACCTACTATCGGTGCTGCTACGGTAGTACTGAGCACTGTAACAATGGTGAGGTAAAACCTCATCCTCCTGAGAGAAGACTGATTTCTGAAACACAGAAAGGTAAAACATATGAAATTGGTAATGAGTTGAAAAAAAACGGCAACTCAAAAAATACGGTGATGTCCAGAAGTTGGATTATATGTGTTGTGCCTCCAGTAAAACAGAACTTTCTGTTTCCGTAGAAACTTTCCCTGTTTCCGGGAAATTTAATACGGGAGAAAAGATCGTCTACTTACCAGGGAAGGCATTCAACTTCCCATGGAACTTTGAGATGAAGACCCAGATATATCGATAGAGCTTCAAACGCTGATTACAAATATGGAAACTAAAACTGCAAAATGAACCTGCCAAGGAAGTTGTGAGCAGTCAAAGTTGGCTAAAGTAAGCGTTACATATGAACCGTGCTATGCTCCAGGCTTTCATGTCGCCGCGGAGTAGCGATAGTGCCCCGCTCTCCACCCGGGAGGCCATAAGTTCTTTCCCTGTTGGAGTGCAAATTTCGAGAGCACTACCACTGCTCCACGGCGACTCTGAAAGCCGGAGGCTAGCACGGTGTAATGCTTACTTCCAGCCAACTTTGACTGCTCACAACTTCCTTGGCAGGTTCATTTTGCAGTTTTAGTTTCCATATTTGTAATCAGCGTTTGAAGCTCTATCGATATATCTGGGTCTCAATTCAAAGTTCCATGGGAAGTTGAATGCCTTTCCTGGTTAGTATTTTTGGAATCTGCCTGAATAAGTACGACCTTGGAAAAGATGAGGATACGGGCGGAAATTGATGCAGTGGTGTCGCTTACCACGCGCACGGTCCCGGGATCGAATCCTGGCTCGTACGCCATCTAGGCCAATTAAGTCTTCCATACCTCCTCATGATGTCACAACCTTCTGGGAGAACAAAAACACCGTCTCGTTCATCGACTGGACCCACAAGTCACTGTATAGGTCGCATTCAATCTGTACTCCACTTTGTCTCTGAACGAAAGTGCGATGCGTGGGTCATGGTAAAAAGGTCCCAAAAACGATTAACCAACGCCGAATGCCAATTATCTTCTTTTAGAACTGCTAGCTAATCGTGAGTAGGGAGGTAGTCACTGCATGCACACGCCCCTTTCCTTAGAACGCCCTCGTAACTCAGGGCAAGGGGACAGCCTGAGGTCTTGTAAAGGTGGAGTATTGTACAAGAAACGACGCTCGCGAGGTACACAACCCTAAGGTCAATGCGCAGTTCGGTCTAGGTAATTAAGTAAAACTGCATTCTTCTTGGTCTGATTATTGGTACACTTGAGTGAATAAAGCTAAAGGCATGTAGAGCTGATCTTTCTGGACATTAGGTCAGTCAAATAGATTTCAATACTACCACGATTTCAATGGAATTACTGAGTCGATAAGTGAGCTGGTCTCTTGAACAAATTCAAGGGCGCATAATAACTTATAGACAGAAGATAGACACAACTTATAGATAAGCCGTTTCGATTTATGAAAAAAAGACCCTGTGATGGAACGTTCAAATAATGCAGTTAAGTGCGCAATGCATACGCGAAGCATTTTTCAGCAGTTTTCAAAGAATAGGTCACTATATAAACAATTCTTAAAGGCCGAAATGGTAGCGTCAAGTGTCGTTGCGAACGACGTGCATGGTTCAGGG